TCACAGTCTGTTCTTAACTATTTATCTAGCTATGACTGTCTATTCTTATCTATCACAATCTGTTCTTAACTATTTAGTTAGCTAACTATCACAGTCTGTTCTTTATCTATCTATCTATCTATCTATCTATATATCTATCTATCTATCTGTCTATCTACCTATCTATCTCTCTACAGTTTGTTCTTATCTATTTATCATTATTATTTTGTTTGTATTTTTATGTATTTCTTTTATACAACATATATCTTTACCATTTTCTCTTCTGAGATTTTTTACATTTCGCTTCCTTTCCTTCCCATACTGATTTCCTTTCTTTCCATCTTTGTTTCTGTCTTTCTAACTTTTCGTTAGTATCATCTCCAGCATATTTTTTATAATCTATCTATCTATCTATCTATCTATCTATCTATCTATCTATCTATCTATCTATCTTCTTTTCTTTTTTTCTTTCGTCTGTACTGTTCTTTCTTCATTAATTTTGGTTTAATTCAATTCTCTGAAGCGTGACCATTTGCTAGTGTCATACATTCCGTCCACATTGATTGCTGTACTACTCTCATCTTGTATGACCCTGGAGAAGACGCGCGCCATAAGGTGATCGTTAGCTAGAAAGTAATGTTTTTGAATTTCAGTCTCTCTTTCAATATCGTATTTTTTTTTTTTTTTGCTTTAGTTTTCTTTACGAGTTTCTGCTAATGCGGTTATTTTAAAACGAAAGCAAAACGCAAAACACTCCTTTATATTTCTGAACTCCCCGCCAAGATGCCTTCTGAGTAGGCTTGAGAAACGGAATCCATCATGCTTCGTCTTCCGTTCTTGAGCCTAAAGAAAAAGCAAATTTAAGTATAAACATTAGAAACGAAACAATGTGGTTGGTTCATGACAATTATTGATGAAAAGAAACTGAAAAATTTAAACGAACTGATTCTTCTTAACGTTTGAACTGAATTACTATTGATATTGGAACGATTTCACATTGTCACGACTAAAAGGTGCATAGATTTCAAATACAAGAACAAGAAATTGAAATAATTTAAGCATATAGGAACTTGCTCAACATACACACACGCACACACACACATTATGCAATGCAGTGTGATATGTCCTGAGCTGGCATCTCGATTCTAGTCACTTTCTCGCCGACGTGATGTGGCTTACCTCTTTTCTAGTAATATTTTCATGGCATCTGCTCTGAATAAGTTTTTTCACTGGTACTCCAACTACTACTTTAAGCGTGCTATTGCTTTGGTATTTTGGTCCCAGCCTTTTACTCTCGAAACAGTTAAATGCAACCGCGTCTTCTTCAATTTCTTCTCTCAAACTTCCCGACAGTGGAACTCCCTTCCTCTTACTTAAATTTAAATGTAATATGTGTCGGCATCTTCTGATGCCTTCATCTTGATCCCCGTCCTTTTCTTCAAACAAACTTATTTAATCTCTCTGTAACCGCTTGAGTTACTAGTGGCACTCCTGCCTTGTTTGAGGTGAAATGCTTAAAATAAACAACAACAAAAACACAGACACAGACACAGACACATACTCTCTCTGTTTCCGTCTCTCTCTCTCTCTCTCTCTCTCTCTATATATATATATATATATATATATATATATATATATGCGATAAAATATTTTCTAAGTATGATAAATTTCAGGGATAGGGCATATGTAAATATAAAACTGAACATTGAAGTCTATATCCCACCGGCGACAACCTAGTTTCATGTTTAAACGGAATCGTTTAGGATGTGGCCTGACGATTGCGTGTAAATATCAAACAGTCGCCAGTGGGTGTTGACTTCTTCAATGTCCATATATATATATATATATATATATATATATATATGTCAAGCAGTGTTTGTGGATATAAATCATGTGTGTATGTGTATCATAATTCTAGTTTGTCTGTGCGAGATCAGGATGATAATGTATATTCGTTTTGTGTGTGTTTGTGCGTGTGTATTTGTGTATGTGTGTGTGTGCGTGCGTGTATGTGTGCGCGCGAGTCTATAAGGCATTTTTAAAGAAATGTCTGCTATTTTTAATTTTTGTGTTATTTGTTTTTCATTGGTTAAACAACTTCACGTGCATCTCTCCTGTCAAGCAATGCTCGTGCGTATAATTTATGTTGTGTGAGTATCATGATTCTAATTTGTGTATGCGGGATTCAGATAATTATTAATTTGACTGTTTGTCCGTGGTTGTGTGTGTGTGTGTGTGTGTGAGCGCTCGCGTGTCTATTAGTCATTTTTAAAGAAAATTCTGGTATGTTTACTTTCTGTTCTGAGGGCTCCGAGTCAACATTAGTCCTGATTATATTTATTTTGGCCATGACTCTGTGAGAGTGTGTGTGTGCACGTGAGAGAGAGAGAGTGACAGAGAGAGAGCGTGCGCGCGTTTAGTACACATTTTTCAAATGGCTATCCCAAAGCAGGTCTGTCTTACCATTGTAGATGCGAGTCTATTTTCCTATATGATTCGTCAATGTAACACTTCCAAAATTGAAGGATTTTTATGTCATAAATCCTAACTAAATCTCAGATTGTCTTGGAGGTGGTCATAAAGATTATAGTGTTGGATTTAACTAAATTATCTTTAAATTTTATTGATAGAGTGTTGGAGTGTAGAATTATGAATTTTATGTTTGTGTTGTCAGAATTGCCCATGTTGTCGGTGGTACCATCTTTTTGAACTTGTAAACTTTATATGTTCGTTTTCTCGCGATGAGGATGAAATGCCGTGGAGAGTGAAAGAGTCTAAACTTTTTTTTCCATGTATTTCTCTTCATCATCTCGACATTTTGCGCTACAGATTTCAAGAGCTCTGAGGTAAATTCCTAGGATTAGTAAAGATTTAATCACTTTATATTCTCACCACAACCAAAATAAATAAATAAATATTTAAAAATTACTAACAGACGGGCGTGCTTAAACACACATATGCACACACGCATACACACAAATACACACACGCACAAACAGACAGACATTAAGCAAACAAACAAACGAATATACATTATCATCCGAATCCTGTGTAGACAAACTAGAATTATTATACACATACACACATGCATTATACACACGAACGCTACATGACAAGACAGATGCACGAGAGATCTGCTTACCCAATGGCAAACAAACAATATAAAAATAAAAAAATATAACTTTTTCTTTTCCATATTTCATTCAATAATATACCGTTAATAAAATCGGCCATGTTAGATTTATAATGGTTTACTATTTGTTCCTTATCCTATTATATATATATATATATATATATATATATATATATATATATATATATATATATATATATATATATATATATATATATATATATATATATATTCGTCTCAGGAGTCGATGGAGTAGAGCTGAAACCGAGGTCATGCGACGTCGCTGGAGTGTCCTCTCCAGCGCGCTACGAGCCTGGGCGGGATATATGGAGAACTAGGGCTGCCCGGACGTCTAGTTCCCCCTCTCGGCCTTGCTAGCAGAGGCGAAAGGAGAGCATAAACCAATACAGTTCGGTAACAACGCGGCTGCAGCTGTTGCCGGAAGGTAGTATAAACTGCCGTCCATCCGCCTTTGGGGCTCCACTCCGGATTTGTGTAGGGTTTACTCCTTGACCTTTCATTCTTTTCACAAGACAGTGCAGCTATTTAACCCATAGCTGGATTTGGTTCATGGGCACCAGGGCATGTCCACACACAGGTGGGACTTCATGCCGCATTCATGTTGTGATATATATATATATATATATATATATATATATATATATATATATATATATATATATATATTACTAATAATCCTATAAATATAAGCAGCTATACTCGTCCGGCAAAACCTTAGGTGTTTTAGCTTGTAAATGAACAAACCAATACCCAAGGGAAATAAAAGGTTAAAAAAAAGAAAGAGCTAAGAAGATATACTTCCGGCGAAAATAATCGTCTAGAATGAAAGTTCAGAGTCCAAAAAAAAATCCCTGACACGAGTAAAGTAAAATAACTAAGCAAAATGCTCAATATGCTAAGTAGAGCAAACTAAGTAAACCTAAAGAGCCAAACAAACCTACCTAGGTTTCACCATGCGGCTCGTCAGGGTAAACATATATATATATATATATATATATATATATATATATATATATATATATATATATATATATATATATATATATATATATATATCGGGGTGTATTTTGTAGCAATTTTTCAATCATACACGTTTGCTTAAAAGCCCCAGAAAAAGTTCTTTGGTAAGTATTTTTACTTACTTACTTTTTCTATATTTCAAACCATTTTCTTATTTTCATGTATATTTATCGTAAAATACATCTGTTGGATGCATCGGTAGACATCATCAGTGATGTTTCTTACCGAGCATCATTAGGGGTTTCGGGTCTTTCAACATCATACCCCCTCTCCATAGTGACCCAGCCGATAATATAAATTGTCCAATATCTGAGTATTTTCGGTTTTCATAATCCATTATCAAAGAGTTTTTAGAAACAAACGCCCTAAAAAAAAAAAAAAACTAAACATAAAAAACTAGACGGCAACAAAATCTCTTGCGTGAAGACGCGAATTTAAAACAAAATTAGCGCGAAGACGTGATATGTGAAAAACGATGAAACTAACAGAGTGAAGAAGAAAAAAAAACAAGGCATTCATAACGATTTATGAAAATCGAATGTAATCAGACGCTGAACAAATTAGATTTAGATATAAACTGAACACCAAGGGAATTGTGTATTATTGAATTAAAAATACATAAAATGAAATTTATTTGTTAATTAACCAAACACACACAGATATATATTTCTATATACACACATACATATTTCTACATACTCGCACGCACGCACTCATACACACACACTCACCCCTATATATATATATATATATATATATATATATTTAAACATATATGTTTAAACATAACAGATAATGAATGTTTATTGTCTGATCATGAGCCATTCTAATGTTTGCTTCAATTTCTGGTGAAAATAAAGACAAAAACTGCCCAACATTTGCATATATGATTATTAAGTTGGTCCTATGCTTTTGGCACATATTTGCCATCCTCAGAGTGGTTATACAGACATGAAACAAAGATATCCACCGTCAAAGATGATATTTTGTTATTTTGACATAGAGAATAGCTATGCGATGATAAAGGTCGCGGAATAGCAGACGCAGATCGTAAGTTCAAGATGGGTTTCTATGCCACGTGACAGACCGTCATGCCACGTAAGAGACCGAAGTATTACAACATAACCAATGTCTAGATGCATTGTAATATGTTGTAGTAGTTTGAAATGTAATTTTTTGAGTGTGGGCTGCTTTGTTTTAATGTAGATGGCCTCCAATATCTGAAGGTTCTTTTTACTGTGAGTATGTGTGATTGTATTATCAACTGATATCTAATATTAGCTGTGTTTTTCTAAGAAATGTTGTTTAAAAGAACTAAGATCAGAAAGGTGACAGATAAGTCCACGGGAGAGCGTGGTTGTAGTATATATATATATATATATATATATATATATATATATATATATATATATATATATATATAGTATGTTGCGAAATTTTGAATTTGATCTCAATTTTATTATAAACGCATTCTATTCTCAATGGTCGTATCTGTATAGAGATCTTTTACTATACATCTTCAAGTTAAGTGAAAATATATCGTCTGGATGTGTGTGCGGATAAAAATAAAAATGCTAAGCCAAATAGTAATTAGCTTATTATCTTAAATGATGTTCCAGTCATAAACAGAACTAATGATATGAAGATAATTTATTTGGCAGCGAATTCTTGACCGTTCACCTTTTGTGATTATTGTCTAATGTTTCGGCAAAATAACATGGAACTGAACCAAACGTTTTGAAATTTGGTATCATTAAAATGCAATACGGTTTATGTTTGAACTTCATAAAAGATTTTCCAGGACCGTATATTGGGCAATGTTAGTGAAATCTTAAAAGTGGTTTTAAAAGTATCCTCAGCTCCTTATTGTTTCTACATCGTTTACAAGTTTAAAGCTGATTTCCATATGAAATTACAGAAACGAATACTGGACAAAGACTTACCTTTCTCTTCTTTCTCGATAGAGAGACAAACAATTTTGTAGTAAGATTGGTTTGGTTTGGTTCATGGCTTGTTTCATGGCATATCAACCTCAATGGGTTATTTAATACCGACAATATTTTTATTACTTTTAATATTTTTTTTCAAAAATGTATTGCCTGTAATCTTTTTTCCTTCAAAACTATTTCTGGTAATATTTTTCTTCAAAACTCTATTGCAGGTATTTTTTTCTAAAATCAATTGCAGGTAATATTTTTCAAAAAATTTATAGTTGATAATATTTTCCAAAGAAATATATTGCTGGCAATATTTTATTTGTAATAATTCTCCTTTAAAAATGTATTCTTGGCAATAATTCTTCATTTATAAAAGCATTTCTGGTAATAAATTTTCCAACAAGAATTTATTGCTGGTAATCATTTTTCCTTCAAATTTTATCTCTTATAATATTTTTTTCTTCAAAACTATATTGCTGGTAATGACTTTTTCTTCAAAAATGTATTGCTGGTAATAACTTTTTTTTTTTTCAAAAATGTATTTCTTGTAATAATTTTCCCTTTATATAAGTATTGCTGGTATTTTTTCTCGAAAATGTATTTCAGGTAATAATTTTCCATTAAAAATGTACTGATGGTATTAATACCTATTTTTACACCTCCACTGCATTGTGACTCTTGTTTGGGGGTCAACTATTTGCCCATAGCTGGGACCCTAAGAGGTGCTACTACCCCGGGTCAGTGTAGACCTGGGAACCAGCAATTAAGAGGTGGTTCCTCATTCCTCAAACCTCAATCAGAAGTTTTACTGTCAGATGTAGTTTAAAGTCTTACCTAGTAAGATTGTCATTGGTACTAAGAAATGCCTTTAACACAAATGTGAATGTAAAGAATGTGTTTAGATTTAGGACATTATTCGACATCTGATCATCTACTGGAGAAAACCTGTGTTTGATAGTATTCAATAAAAATTCTTAGGAATTACAAGAATTTGGATAAACTCTTTCTATGCAATATTATAATAAGCAACTGGCTCGTTTGAATGACATTTTGTAAATAAAATGAACTGTCTTCTGAATAAGTGGTGATTCTGATGCATGAAAACTATCGTCCATTTTCACATATGTGACGGAACCATTTAACAATTCATATGAGAAAGTGGTTGTATACAACTGAGGGTTTCATTCTCTCTAAATAAGTTTGCTGCAACCCATGACATCAACATCAATCAGACGTAACTATTTAAGAACATAATTGATTCGTTTTCTTCAGCTTATACAATCTTTGCAGGTTATTTAAAGCCATAAAATATTTTTAGATTTTAAGATTGTTTTTTTTTTTAGAAATAATAATGATTTAAATTTTTAGATGTTTTACAAATTAACACATAGCTGGGGTGGGCGGAGACAGGGAATTCATATCTTTCCCAATGGTATTTTCGGCTAAGTGAATATAAAGATCCCAACTGAAATTGGAACTCTGCCCTCCAATTAAAAATTCCCAGCCATTAACCATTACACCACGTGCACATCCAAGCTTACAACAACTGGTATTCCCAAGAAGTCACTCATATAGATACGAACCTAATTCGACGTTGCTTAACTTCGTATTGTATGGGATGATGTTTCAACGTGATTTGGTCGCAAGCCCTTTAAGAATATAACTCGTGGATACAGGCTAATGTTTTGGTTTTGTAGCAGTGTCGGCTGAAACTACCCCTAGCGCAGTCTATTCCATGTTCAGTTTCCTTATAAATAATCATTATGGCGAAGTATTTAAGGAGGATAGTATATTAAGTGAAACGAGGTATTTTTGTAAACTCGTGCTGGTAAATGTGAGGTAATGTCGACAAGACTTCGTAAATATCTCATTAAATAGGTTACTATTGTTACCTCTATATTTTTTTGCAACATGGCAGTCTTCCTTCGATCGTGACTATGCATATTAGCATTAAGATCTCAAACATTGCCATCATTATTAATATTGAACTTTTGCATCGGCACATGCAAAGTACAATCGTGAATTTTGCTTTTCAGTTGCAACGCCGTGCAATGCGTGCCTGCAGAAACGATCACTCAGATTTTATTGATAAGTAAGCAGAAAAAAAAAAGATTTTTCAACATCTCTATCCGCTCAGCAATCTTAATCTAGAAAATATCTTTCATACACGCAAGAACATTAATTCAATCTATCTGTTTCCATCACTGATAAGGGCTCTCTCTCTCTCTCTCTCTCTCTCTCTCTCTCTCTCTCTCTCTCTTCATCTTTTTAGTTAAACTTTCTTTTGAAATGTGGTCATTCTCTTTTCCTATTTATTTCTGGTTTTCAGTTTGATGGGACGAGTCATAAAAAAAGAAAATATTTTTTTGCATTCGATTAATAGAACTATTTTTTAATTAATCGTCAATATATGAAAACCGGTTAAAATGCAGTAAATATCATATATATATATATATATATATATATATATATATATATATATATATAGGCAGCATATCTTCATTCAACCATGTTTCATTGAATAATCTAGACATAATGTGTCTATTTATTTTATTTTAATTCTGTCAAATTCACGGATGCATTTTTTTAGTACTGTTACAAAACTGGATAAAAAAAACGCCATAGTTTTGGTTATTTTTTTATTTTCCCAAGTATTTTCATTTCATCCAAGACCATCATCATATATAAATTTAATTGTAACAGACTATTATTTACATTATTCGGAGTCCTCATCTTTGTCCCGACATTTATTACAACGTTTCGGCCGTTGTACGCTTCGGCCTTCTTCAGGTGGTTGGAATGTCGAACTGAACCCTTTATTTCGCTAACTGGGGTAGACTGTTCTAGTTCCACGTGCCATGTTTAATGGATGTCAGTTATCAGTTATCTCGTGTTAATTCCTCTCTCCAATTCTCCACTGCCTTAACCGGATATTGAACTCACACTCTTTGGGTCCTGTCACTGGATCTAACCAACGCCTTGTAACATATTTTTACCAGAGCTCATATTGCAACTTTTGTTGTTATTATCACTTTTTTCTGGCACTCCTGAGAAGGCCGGGGTGTACAACGGCAGAAACTTTGTAATAAATATGGCGACAAAGATGAGGACAATGTCCGAATAATGTAAATAATGTACATAATACCTCATCTCAGAAATATAGACAGATAATTTTACTATCAATTACATAAATTTTTGTCATGGAAATTCACCCCTGAAAATGATTTGGGAGGCTTACGTTTCACTTAAACGCTCATAGTTCAATCTCAGACCATTTACAGGAAAACTTAGGTTCACATTCAGAATTTATACAGATATTAGTCGAAAATACATCAGTGCTTCATCAAAATAATAATAAGCCAAAGCCTAGCATACTGAAATCCCTTTATATATCAGAATTGCAACCCAAAATAAATCGACTACGGGTATAGCAGCAAATTTATTAAATGTTTGTAGGAGAAAAATGTTATAGAAATAATACTAAATTAAAATACTACAATTAAAAAATACGTCTAAATTATTTAACCAAATATGCTTGAATGAAAGTATGCTGCCTACAGCATATTGGGGTTGTTGGAACGTCTTCCTTAATGTATTCCTTATCGCTAACCCCTTAACCACCTTTATCTAGAGACGAGACGCGTTAGATTTGAGCAACATCCAGCCGACACACTGGGGTTAAAATAGGAAACTAAAATGATACATATGACACACTCATATCCTCTCTCCCACCTCACTTCCTCACTTCGCTAACATTGCGTATACTTGATGAGGTCCTTAAAAAACGTGTGAATTTCTTTTCATTTTTCATTTAAGCTTTTGGAAGTAAAGTCTGATGATCCAGAACCCTGTTAAAGGGGTTATGGTGAAATAGCTTATTACATGGAACCTTAACGTGGTCTGTCTTTTATTCAAACATATCTGCTCTGAATTTTACATTGAGCTCTCTGGATATCATCCTCTTCAGGTCTACCCATACGGATTACCTAAATTTGCATAAACTATATATATATATATATATATATATATATATATATATATTATTATTATTATTATTATTATTATTATTACTAAATATTCTATTTTATAGTGCGTACCGTCTTGCTGATTGTAATACAGTGTAACCCGGATATAAGAGAAACCCGGATATAAGAGATTTTCTCTGGTCCCAAATTAGAGCCTGTGTTAATGTATATAAAATAGACCAAACCCGGATATAAGAAAAACCCGGATATAAGAGACTTCTTCTCCGGTGAAAATATATAGTATAAAATACAAAAAAAAAGGAAAACATAAATTGATGGTCAAATAAAAAAAAAGTTATATATATATATATATTGTGAAAATATATAGAAAATAGGAAGGAACTGGTTAGGTAAATAATCCAAAGTTCCTTTATTTTATTTTTTAAAAATAGTGCTCGATACAAAAGCAGAGCATAAATATAATTATTTATTTAAAAAATATGATTCCAAATCGCGACAAAAGAGGTCTCATGTTTCAAAACAAGAGCCGAAAACTGAATATAAATATTTGAATTAAATTGAGTTAAAGTAAGCTCTTTTCCATCATCAAGCGAATTTTTTTTTTTTTTTAAATTTCGCTTGATGATGGAACAGAGCTTACCTTAACTCAATTTAATTCAAATAATTATATTGAAGTTTTCGGCTCTTGTTTTGAAACATGAGACCTCTTATGTCGCGAGTTGGAATCATATTTTTTAAATAAATATATATATATATATATATATATATATATATGGTGTGCAATGGATAAAATGTCGCCTAAATTACGTAAAAATGAAAATAACATTGATATCTCATTTTAACAGATTTATTTACCAGAATTACACAAGAATATCTTAAAATACTAAATATTAAATGTATTCAATAAAATCAGCTCTGGCTTCAAGCAAGGCCACTAGACGACTTTGGAATCTCCTGCAATTCTTCTGCACGTTCTTCTTGTATATTTTGGTGAATGCTGCCATAATCCTTGACTTTAGTTCATCTTTAGTGTTACAAGGAGTTTCATTGATCTGTCGCTCAACTGCGCTTCACGCATAATAATCAAGACGGTTAAAGTGTGAGGAGCTACGACTGAGTTGTCCTGTTTGTGTTGCATGGTGCAGAGTCATGTTGCCAGACAAAGTTTCTTCTAGCAGCCACCCTCTTTTCCCAGTGCAGCACTACCTCCCCAAGGCACTTGATGTAAGTCTTCGTGCTAAGTCTGAAGCCTTGTGGGAAGATGAATGTAGGCATAACATCGACATCACTAGTGATCACTCCAAACACCTTCGTAATCGCCATTAGACTCATCCAACTCCTTCCGAATCCTCTGCACTCTACTCAGATTGACACACAAATATTCTTAAATGTTTGTATTGGAGTTTCGGGACTTCTTCAGGTAATATAAGTTGGAATTTCGAATCAAAACATTCGAACAATGTAAATAGTGTAAATAGTTACAACATAATCTTAGAAATATACACAGTTTATTTATTATCTTGTAAAATTTAATTCCTCAAGATTTTTACCGTATGTTATATTAGGCTGAGTCATTAGTAAATTCCATTTTGAAGAAACAATTCCATTGACGAATGTATCTTCGTATGTTACTAATCATATGTGCCAGATTAGAGTAAATATGAAGTTCGTTAAAATAAATAAGTTTTTACTTGACAATGACAGCGTAAACAATGGATAAGAGGCTAAATTTATTGACACCACTAATGCAGAGATTGAACGCGCATTTACATCACATAATCTTGTGGGAGTTTAAGTAAGGGAAGGAGAATATGGGGACAATCAGAAAAGTATGTAGTGTTTGTGGCCAAGGAGTTATAATGAACCGGCAAGTTTCCTTCTGGAGGAAGGTCGTTGGGAGATGAAAGCAAATATGAACCTTTCTTGGACTTTGACGATGAAGATGTAATTGGAAAGTAATCACGTAAAAGTAGTTGGGAATTAGAAAACATGATAAACTCTCCACAATCTACCAGATGCCGATGCTTGAAAAAAGACAAGGAAATAATAGGGAATGTCTTGCTATTATTATTATTATTATTATTATTACTGAGTGAGAGATAAACGCGCCAAAAAATGACGCTGGGGTAGAAATATACGAAACCCAATATACCCACTATGACACCCACAATTTTATTGTAGGCACGTGCATTACAACCAAACATGTTTGATATATTAAGACGTTTTGATAAAAGCAGCACATAATATTGCAGGTTAGGCACAGTTATTAATAACGTGCAACGAAATTGTACTTTAAATCCAGTAATGAAAATGTACTTTAAATCATGCGATGAAATTGTTCTTTAAATCCAGTAATGAAGATGTACTTTAAATCATGCGATGAAATTGTACTTTAAATCCAGTAAAAAAATTGTAATTTAAATTAAGTAATGAAATTGTCTTTTAAATTAGGTAATAAAATTGTTCTTTAAATCATGCAATGAAATTTTACTTTAAACCCAGTAATGAACTTGTAATTGCATTAATAATAGTGTCCTTTAAATCAGGTAATGAAATTGCCTTTGCAATGAAATCGTACTTTAAATAAAGTAATGAAATTGTCCTTTAAATCATATAATGAAATTGTCTTTCAAATCATTCAATGAAATTGTACTTTAAATGAAGTAATGAAATTGTACTTTACTTTTCTAAAAATAATATAAGTCAAAACGGAAATCATTTATGACTCAATTTAATAACTGGAAAAGTAGATGAGACTAAAATAAATGTTTTAGTAAATCTGAACTTATCACTTCTATTTTTTAATTTACCTTTTATTTTCCAATGTATAAAAGAAAATTCTCAACAATTCCCGGCCTACCCAAACATTGCACATTGCTTTGTTTTTTTTTCGTATTGTATTCGTTATTATTTGGGCAGGAGAATGTATTTGGTCAGTTGCTAGAATCTTTCCTTACACCTTTTTCTCATCAACGGACAAAATGTCCAGCCACTGCTAGACCTTATCCATCGCAACTGTAATGATGCAGATATTCCACCACTCTCTATGTTTGGTAAAAATCCATACATAAATGTGGGCTTTCTGGTGTGGAAACAGGGCAAAGTGTTACTATCATTTAGCTGATGTAGGACCAGTCACTCGTACGAAATTTCGATGTCGTCAGGGAAAGGAGTTAAATGTCTGTCAACTAAAATTAAGTTAGATTTTAACCATGCAATTTCTAGCACCCTTTCTTTATCACACTTGGTGTGATTTTCTATCAGCTAACCTTTAGGTGTCCGCTTCTTGT